TAACATTTAGATACAATCTGGACCACAGTCATCTACTCTGCAGAGTATCTGTGGATATTATGCTATCCTGTCCTACCCTTCTCTCATTTTATGTATGTAAACTTGTAAGCAAGAGGAAATATATGGGTCAATTTCCCTGAAACAGACTGCACCCCTTGCAGACTCTGAATATTTTCTGCTTTACTTATATTGTTCCAACTTTGGTAGAATGACCCCCAAGTTTAATGACTGTAAAGTATCAGAAACAGTACTTAGAGATTTGCATTTCCTTGTAAAATTGTAATTTTCCGCTTTCATATTTCATTTGGATCTTTTCACAATGCTCATTTTTCTTGCGCTTAAACAGTAAATTAATTATTATTGTATCCAAGACATTTTGATACTCTAATGAAAGTTAATTGGAATTCCATTTTTATTTCTAATTATAATAAATTAAATGTATAAAAATGACTTATTTCTTGTAATGCTCTTTTCTATTTCATTACTTACTAATGTTAAACATTACCATGCTCTGTTTGGAATATCCTGTTATATCTAACTTCACCACATAGATTAACATATAGTTTTAAATAGCGTGTCTTGTATCTTTGATTCCTTGGAGAATCTACACACAATTTTCCCCTTTGATATTCTTTCATGAATTCTTTCTTTTTTCTGACATAAATGTATGATCATTCTGTAGCATGCTGACTGGATAGAAAAAGAGACATTGCTAGTAGGGTGATATCAAGAAAAAAATAGCAGAAGTGCAGTTTATACCATAAAAATGTGGCTTTAATAGTGTTGCACTCTAATGATAGCAATATGCAGATATTTCAAAGACCTAATTGCACCTTTAGTCCTGCTATGGTAGTTACATCAATTAGAAGAAGCATGATCCTTTAGATAGCATTTTTTATCTTGCCCAAAATGCTTGCTCCAAAAAAGTATTATCTACCATACCTGAAGGATAAAAAAGTTGGAATAAGAAACTACATAAAGTTGAAAAGCTACAAACCCCTGTTTATTCTACTACAGTAAAGATTAATATTACTAGATGCTGCTAAGCAAGGTGTTTTTGCATGGGATTTATCACTCATGCTTTGGTGTTTTTTTTGTTTGGTGGCTTGTGGGGTTTTTTTGCCCTTTGCTACAGTTGCAATACAGGTCCAAGACACACATTTAATAATTCAGGGCAGAGATCATCCAAAATACATTAATTGCCATAAATAAACCCACAAGAACACCAAGACAAGTTTAACAGTCTTTTCTGGGGCAAACTTTGTTTATCGTCAAAGTCTCAAATTGAAACATCAAGAATCATAAATATATCCGTAACAAGATACAAAGTTTTTAAAGAAGCCTGAAGTGAACATTAGGACTGTGGCTTTCTCAGCACTAGGAAGCCACCAAGCCTCTCAGTAAAATAAACTCCCAAGGGTTTACCACACCATTGTGGTATTATGTAAAACACCAGCACTTCAGCCTAAGGTCCAAGTGTAAGGTCAAAGCTACTGACCGGATAGTGTGCTGGTAGCCAACATAAACACCAGGCTTGCAAAGCAGAACCTCTAATCTGCAAAATGGAAATACATGCACATCGAAATTGGATATAAGCCAAAAGAAAATAGCCAAGTGACTATAAAGAGGAACACACATCTATATATAAATCACTAAAAAAAGACAGTAAGCATTGCTGTTCTGGCCAGTGGCAGCTTTTTATTAGCAGAAATACACCCCTCAGGGTAGTATCAGTTACATGATGACAACAATCAGCCCATTTCTAAGGTTGAAGACAGATGCTGTTAAAAGTCACACTTTGATCTCTTCTGTTTAGGAGTGGAAAAAAAAAAAGTCCTAAAATCAAGGGAATTAACTTTTTTCCCCTGCAGCACTGAAAATTACACAAACATCTGTTTGTAATCACAGATCATTACAGAAAAAAAGATGACAGAGAAATTTTGGTTTGTCTTAGCATTTTATATCCTGATATTATCAAAAGCTTTCGTTAGGTGAAAATTGTCATGCTGCTATATCCAGGAGAGTCCCGCATCCCTTTATTTCACAATATACTACACGATTTTACATTCTCTTTTTGGAAAAAAAAAAGAATTCTGACCAACATGCTTTCATTTGGAGCAATACACTGAAGAAAAATACAGGATCACAAACTGACTTTAGGAGGCCCAGATTTCACCTCCAGACCATACTGAAATGTGTGGTCATTATCAGTGCTTTCAGCCAGACCAAGACTGAGGACACATGTGTAACATTAAAACAAACAAACAAAACACAAACAAAACCAACAACAGCAAAACATCACTAAAAAACACACTCAAAAAACCCAGCCCACTCAAAAGACCCCTACAGACTTAGGCCAAACACCAAATCCTACCAAAACCCACCCAATTTCAAAACTGTAAGTACTATCAGGACTGGGCATGCTAGCTATGAAAGAGAGAATCAATTCTGCCTGTGTTTTCTTGCCAAGATGCTTACTGCCATAAATCATCCTGAGGATGTATGTCCTAAAAGACACAAGACATGACTAATTTTCTATTAAAAAGTCCTCTTCAATGTGAAGAAAAAAGGCCAGCTGTCTGTATAGCAGGCTTCAATTCCAGGTAACTTTGCTGGGACTGTTTTTTTTAAGACAACAGTCAATTCATGAATTCTGTTTTATTAACCAGCTTTCTTAAAGTTGCTTTAGGAATCAAGTAAATAAACAAAGTCCCATCTTTTGTAGTTGTTCTTACTTCTGATCACACAAGAAGATTAGTGTCAGAGAAACGATTTTTGTGCCTTATAAAGACAAAAAGCTTTCATCCATGGCAATTTGATTTCAAGGAACCATGTAGCAAAATACAGCTTAGTTGCCCGTGGAGAAGAATATCTCTGGTATTGTTTTACGTTAAATTGACTTGATTTTCTGAACATGACATTCTTGACTTGCATAATTACCTTTTGAAATAAATCAGATCGTCTTCTTCTGCTAACAAATTTAAAAGTATGAATAGAAGATTATTAGAAGTGAAAGTAGAACAACATGAACACTTGGAAAAAATAATGAGTCTTTTTCAATACGTGCTTTATGAATGCTCACTGAGTTTTTAATCATTATTTCATACTGTAGTTACAACATATGCAATCAATGGGATATCTCAGCTAAAAGTCAAAATGGAAATGAGGTACTAACAGATATATGCTTTCCTCTTTAAAAAATAATGCACAAATTAATAAAAATAGTACTTGAAAACAGAAGTGGAAATATTATCTAGATCTAATAATGTTATTATGTCTGCATATGCCAGCTAACCTCATAAAAGCTGTGCAAATTTATGCCAGGTCTCAAGAAAAAAAAAGAAAGTGGAAATCCCATACCCTTTACTCTCCAGTTACAGTGCAGATGATTTTTTTTAACTTGCTTTGGAATAATGAATCAAATAACTGACAAGTCTAAATTAATAATTTTCTATTGTGATTCAAATGAAAAAAAATATAACTTTTTTTCCCTTTTGTTTAAACACATGCTGCAGTACATTGCAGCTTCCTGCAAGTAAGTATTCTGACAGAGCTTAGAGGCAACAGCACAGAGGTCAAAGACGCCCTGTGAAGATCAGGACCCACATTAAACTGCACCAGAACTGGAGAAGACACTTGGGCATATACTAGTCTAAATAAAGGGAAAGTTTTTTTTAGACCAAGTATCTTCCTAGTAAGACTGAGAACGTATTTCCTTAGGACAAGCCTTTCTTACACATTTTTTCTCCCCCCCAAGTTGTTGATGCCACCATTTCTACATTTATCACCATCTTCTTTATTCTGTTTCTTTTTTTCCTGCATAACTGTACCAACAACTATTAATGAGATATGATCTTAAGAAAGACAACGACACATGAAATGAGGGAGGTTTCTTCTTTCTCTTGAAGAAATACATCAAATGAATGCCCATAGTTTAGTGCATTAATAGAATTCATAGCTTCAGCTTGCTATTAAAACAGATGGCAGTCACCCCAGCAAGTATCCCTCTCCCTCACAAATTGTAATATAAAAGCCAAGGTGCCTGGCAAGGCTATACAGATAAATGGTAATATATTCTTTGGTTAAAAATTCAGTTTGAGAGCACACAGATTAAAAACGTGTTCACCTGGCAACTTGCAGAACAAGACTCAAATTTCCACTTCAAACACTTGCTCACTATGTGGCAATACTAAGCAAAGGCAAATTGCAAATACAACAGCAGGGACTACCAGCAGAGGAAACCAAGCCCTGGCCTCTGAAATATTTTTAATGTTTGTATTAAAAATGCCAATCATATGAGAATTTTAGCCAGAACAGACCACAGTGGAATCTTATTAAAATATCCTCCAGTTTAGAGAAGTAACAGACAATTGCTCAGTTTAGTCTCAATTATGCTGATTACTTAGTATTCCCCTCTTTTAGCAAAACATTTTCTAAGTTATTTTGCAAAGATGCATCTCATCTGAATAGATGTCATTAGACCAATTGAAATGCTATTGTAGAGCTTCACTGTAACTGGGATAAGAAAGCATGTGTAAGACTTCTGCTTGTACTGTGTAAAAATTCCATTATTATTCTACCATATTTCCAGAGTATTTGACATTCCAATATATCCAGCAGACAAGACTGTTATTCATTGCCTTTGCGATTATTCAAGTTTGTGTTATTAATTTTAATTTTTATAGTAATCTAAGCATGCAGCCTGATGTTAAGTTCTTCTGCACTCAAAATTTCCATCCATTTAGCATTCATTAAAAGGAAACAGAGCATCAAGCACAAGAACAAAATAGGCTTGTTTTCTAAAAAAACATCAAATAACACAGAACAAGAATCAGGTGGCCATTAAGCAACAGATTTTTTTTCATGGGCAAAATAGACATTAATTATGCTTTTATTCAGTATTTCATTTGGCTAATTCATGTGTCTGCCATTTTCAAATGAAAAGCAAGACAGAATGTGCTGTGCTCTAAAGGTAAGAGGACAAAATAATATTTTCTTACCTTGGCATTATAGGGAATATAATGCTTTGATAAGGCTTCAGGAGTATGCATCCATGTTTTGTCTACAGAAAAGCAAAATAAAAGAAGCACTGAATAGGTTATTCAATTTTTAGTTTAACTATTATAGTATCTACCTGGAAAACATCAATAACCCTCCTTTTACTTAAGTAAGTATCTGTCAGCAGTGTTCCTGGGGCTGGAAGTAAATGCAGCATATCTCAACTTCCCAAACATTTACATGAAAGAATCGGTTGCTTCTCTTAGGCTCACTTTTCATTTTAACAAACTTAATTTACCATAAGAATTCAAACTCCTCCACCCAAATATTTTACTGGCCTAAGGTTACTGTTTCTGCATCAGCTTGTTATTTTCTGCACCCTGCTGCTGCTGTTGAAAGCACTGACCACACACTGCACTTCCAATTACAGTTTTATTTATTAATTATGAAGATATTAAATGGACAAAAAAAAATATTTTGGAAAAATCATCAGAACAATAACTGAAACCAAAAAGCCCTAATCTTCCTACAAGACAAGAGAAGCAAGTCAGATTGTGGTAAATGATCCAGAAGTTTAGATCTTCTTTAATCTTTCCCTGCATATCCTACATTAACTTGCATATTTTCTTTTAATAATTCTCACCTCACAAGACTGCACTACTGTCTTACTTTTTCCTGCTGCATGTTTAATATGGTGACAGGATGAGTTAATTATTTCTGAAATACATCTCCTTCATTTCTATGACCATTTAGAAATTCTACATAATTTAAGGAGCAATTCCAACTTTTTTTTAAAGCTCTTTTTACTAGATGTTTAGAAAATATTTTTAAGTTCTCTCAGTTGAAAGCATTTGAGAAAACAAAAAAATGATGTATCAAACTAATAAATGGCATTACCAACCACATGAGAGATTCTGTAACACTGAGTAGCATATTATACTCCACAAGTTCAATATTTGTATTTGCAGTTGTATTCTTTAACATAAAAACACTTCTGCTTCCATTAGCCTGAATTAAAGGCACAAATCTGGAACTTTATTAAGTAACAGCATAGCTTACACCAAGATTCTATCCTTGCATATTCACCCCCATTAATGGGAGTCGAAGTTACAGCAATTACTAACTTCTTTGTTAGTTACACATAAGAAAAATAAATCCCTCTTGACTTAAAATTTTTCAAGAGCAAAAGCTGTGACAGTTGTTGACATTAAACCAATAACTAAATATTTTTTTATGGACAGGAAAAAGAAAACTGTTAAACAAAATATGCACCATAGTCACCGCAGTAAAAGGATCAAAACTGCAAAGCTGAAGGAATTTTTTTTTCTTTAAGCGATTTTCATTCTAGATGACAGTAATGTTCAGCTCCATTATTGAAGAAAGATACCATCACTCCTTAATTAAGTAAGCATGATTTCTCCATTCAGCAGCACCCAGGAGGACGATTACGCACTGAAGTGGCTCTTCATTTCAATTTTGGCTTGTGATTGGAATACCAGAACCGAGAACCCCGCTCCCCCCTCCCAGAATATTTTATGACCTGAAATTGATCTCTATTTTGAGTACAATATCAAAAGCTGATGCTACCTACAAATAAAAAATAATAGTGTGGATTAGAGCTGTTAGAATAAAAGCCTGACAACCCAAAAGATAACCAAAAACATTTTACTTTGATCCGGGCCAACGGAGCCAGCTTGGGAGTTGCAGAGAAAGGAAGTTGGCACGTAAGGCAGGACTGCTCCCTGCTCCATCACATTTGCTGCAGCAGTGACCAACTGTACAGAAGAGATTTTGACTCCAAAACACGCATTCACATTGCTAATTCCAACCCAAGTAATTCTATGATTTATTCTAACACATAGGTCACGAGCTTCAACAAGGAAAATTGGTCTGTTTATAAAAGCATAAAGGAAAAATCTAGTAAAAATCAAACATTGAATCTCTTAAAAAAAAAACCCAACAGCAACAGCCTCCATTCATTTTGTGCCTAGTACTAGCATGAGAAAGTGACATGGCTGTAGCTTTTGGAGCAATTTTACAGGCAAGTGAGTACAGGGCCCCCAAATGAACTATTTCTTCCCATCCTCAAGGGCAAGTTCAAATCTGAAAAGCTATTCATTTGGGAGCTAAGTTCAAAATTAAGCAGCTTTATTCAGCAGCCAGTAATCTTTACAATATTAGAAATAGGTATCACACTTGACTTTGAATGTTGTGGTGGTTTTTTTTTGTGAAGTCATATACTTGCCTGCTAACCTCAAATTGTAATCCTACAGGGATTCCAACAAGTAAAAACACTGTTAGGGAGGTGTTTCTATAGGTATTGGTACCTCTAGTTAGGGAAAGAGAAGAAAATATGGGCAAGTACTCTCATATCAGAAGGAAATCAGTAATTTAGCTGGGTAATTAAAAGATGCCTGAATTCTATAAGTATTGTGCCACTGGTTAAAAAAGCAAGCCAGCAAACATCATTTCCTACACCCAGGTGTAAAACCTGCAGACACAGTCTCATAGGTGATAAAGCTTTCCATTCACATTAGAAGGCCATTCCCTAGATGTCAATAATAATTACAGAGCGGTGGCACTTTTGAAAGAACCCAAAACGCTTAACAAAGATGAGTACAATGCAACATTCACACTGATACTCAAGACATGCAAAAAAAAATTGAAACTATTAAGGGTAAATTAGTTACCAGTATTTCCTTCTGAACTGTAAGCTCAGATTGTGGACTTGGGTCACCCTCAGCAGCTGTTGGAAATACTGCTTAGACTTTGTTTGATTTCACAGCCGTTGAGAAATACCAAATTTCAGACATTTTGCATCTAATAAACCAGAAAAATATGAAAAAATAAAACCCTATAAAACAGGTATTCCTTTAAACAGTTGATGTAGATGTGGCTTGTGGTTTGCAAGATCCCCCACTTTTTAAATTAAATTTAAATGGCTTTTCACAGATTACTACTCAATTATTCATTTTGATGCAAGAAAAATATGAAACCCTACACTGGAAATCCCAGTTCATATTATTATTTTACTAGTCATATAGCAAGACTTCCAGACATTGTATTGATAAATAAAACAGTAAGTCCTAAAAAAAGGACAACAAGCCTACATGAAACCACAACTGACCACTGGATGCATCTAAAAACTGAAGACAGACTTGTGTTATTGCACCTGGTGAAAACTACTGTTATTTTAGATCTTGTCTGATGCTCTTAATCTAGGCTGCCTTAGCATTTATATTAATGTTTAAATAAGTCCCTGTTCTTTTTTTGAGAAGTAGGAGTTTGACTCATTGCAAGCCCATTAACACCCAAGCAGAGATTAGCTTCAATGAGGTATGAGAGGTGCTAGGAGGTAAAACCCTGAGTATGTGATAGTTTTGTCAAACACAAGGGCTCTGTGTGGGAGAAAAGATGGGAAAAAGGATCTCCATCCAGAACTCAAGGGCTCAGGGTAAGCCACAGCCCTGCTTAATGAGAGTTAGTAATCCTGTAGGCTCTACACATTCCCTCCTCAGGTGCACAGCACACAAACTGTGCAGCACAGGCTTTTAGAAAGCCCCTGTAGCACCATCCCAGCTAGTTTCTAAGAGAATTTGGCCTGCATGAGAGCTTCTTATGTTTTGTGCCATGCAATGGTCCACTAAGAGCAGTGGGAAAACCGCCTAAAAGTAACATTTGGGAGACACAGGGTTTGACAGAAAGAATTGCAAAGGTGGAGGCAAAGGGTTGGGAACACTCATGGTCAGAGGATTAACTGCACTCAGAACTGAAACTTGACTCCTTTCTAGTCCCCTTTGAATCACATCAGCCCCTTTCCTTTATAAAAGAAAAGTTTCCATACAATCTGCATATCACATCAAGTGCTTGGTAACTGCACAACCAGGGAGCACTGTTGGAAGCCATTTCAGAGGCCTGGGTGGTGCTGGGAGAGCCAGGGAAGAGGAATGTGCTGACAAATCACATGCTGAACTCAATAGACTAGGGGACTTCATAAAGAATCCAGAACAACTGAGCTGCACTTTGCAGAGGATGACATTAGGTTAGATAACAGCACAGTTGACCATTTATCTACCACAAAGGAAAGCAGGAGCAGTGCCAAGAAATTGTTCTCCCTTTGAGATGAAATTCTCCACACATTACTGCCCACAGGTATTACAGAATTGATTTAGTGGACAGGCATCGATGAACTATTTTCTAAATGGCAAAACAATGCTCAACAGTGCAAGCTTAGTTAACTGCTTCCCTAAACCCTACTCTCATTAGTAATTCATGCATGCCTTTTTTTTAGTGCCACATGGAAACATAATCACTTCCAGAAGATACAAACTGAAACCTATTTTTCTTTACTGAATCCAAATCTCTTTGACACCAATTCATGTTCTCCTTGCTAAAAAAAGAGATCTTGCAACAGTCTTTTCTTCCTGCTTTACAAAATTAGCTATGGAAAGAAAGATTAATTACAGTCTCCTGAAGAAGAGAGCATCCCACAAGATCAGTGCTGCATCTAGGTATTACTGCTTCAGGGAATAGCGTATCTGCCTCAGTGCATTTTAGAACCTATCTGTATCTTTCATTTTCCTTGGATTATCTATTTTTGTATAAATAGAGAAAACCTTCACCATGGGACATAACACAGCTGTCAGCCTGTTAAATAATTGCCTTTACCCTGCACTGTACCAGAAACAGGCAGGTTCTAACAAACTTCACTTGAGCTTGTCAGACAAGGTAGAATCCATCTTCTTGACTACTACAGCCTACCTGATACTCTGAGCCATGAAGCTTAATGCCTAGACGTTATTAAATGAATCTACCTATATACCTCTATAATTCAGCTATAGCATTTGTTCCAAACACCTTCTAGAGGAACAACCAAGTATAATCTGTGTCTAGTAGTAGTAATGTAGTTCAGTTATTAGCAGGTTACTATGATTAAGCAATTGAAACTATGAGTCAGAGTCTGTCCTAAGCATGTAGAGGCAAATACCCAACAGCATACATTATTCAAAAAAAATTACTTCCCCAAAAAAACCCATAAAATGTTATTTGGAGCTGTAT